ATGGATGGGTTAACTCGATGGGGGGAAATCCTTTCACAATGTATACGCATATCAAACCATCACATTGTACACTTTAAATATCTTACAATTTTATTTTCAATTATTCCTCAATAAAGCTGAAAAAAAAAACAACCCTTTATTGTATCTCACAATTCTATGGATTGGCTGGGCGGTTCTACAGGTCTCACTTGGGGTGGCTCATGAGTTTGCTATGAGGTGCAACTGGGGCTGGTGCTCCTCTCTGTGGTCTCCATCTACATGTTTCCTTAGTCTGTTCCTTCACTCAACGTAGAGGAGGCACTCTGCGCCAGGCATTATTCCAGGTGTTGGGATATAGTAATGAACAAGACGAACAAGGGCCAGACCCTCATGGAGCCTCCATTCTTAAATTCTCACAGTGCAAAGAATAAGCAAGTGAACAAACACATTCTAAGGTGATATGGGTGGGGAGGCGGCTACTTTGGAGTGATCAACAAAGCCCCCTTGAAGGGACATTGGAAGATCTGGGGGAAAAGCATTTGCTAGTGCAGATTTCCAGGGCTTGAAAGAATTTGGGGATTTGAAGGAAAACCACAAAGGCCACCGTGTTTTGGGAGTAGTGAGTGAGGAGGGGAATGTCTGGGTCAGGTCACAGAGGTGTCAGAGGCCCCACAGTCACAAAGGGCCCTGAGAGCCTGGTGAGGACTGTGGATTCCATCCTGGGTGATAGAACGTTTGAAATCATAAATTATATTGATTTTCTTGTCCAAAAGATCACTCCACTCTCACCTTAGAAAAAGGATTTAGGGGTCCAGGGTGAAGGCAGGGTGACTAAATAGGCTATTGCAGTAGGTGATGGGGGTTTGGACGAGGGAGGTGGCAGTAATTATGGGAAGTCAGAGATTACAGACATATTCTGAAGGATTTCCAAGAAGCACTGCTGATGGATTGCATTTGGAGAATGAAGAGAAAGGAGAAAGCAGAGGTCTCTCAAGTTTCTCTCTCTCTTTTTTTTTTTGAGGAAGATTAGCCCTGAGCTAACATCTGTTGCCAATCTTCCTCTTTTTTGCTGAGGAAGATCGGCCCTGGGCTAACATCTGTGCCCATCCTCCTCTACTTTATATGGGACGCCGCCACAGCATGGCTTGACAAGCGGTGCGTCAGTGCGAGCCCGGGATCCGAACCTGCGAACCTCGGGCTTCCAAAGTGGAGCGTGCAAACTTAACCGATTTGCCACCAGGCTGGCCCCTCAAGTTTCTCTTTTGAGCAGTGGAGTGAAGGAAGTACCGTCCACTGAGGAGGGGAGCTGGTGGAAGAACAGATTTTTATTTTGGAGGAAGGCAAGGAAAGAAATTTAAAATTCCACTTGAACATGTTTAAGTATGTTGTGCCCACTCAGTAATTTGTAATTGAACTATATGATTTAAGGTTTATCCAAATCTGTGCAAAAATAAGCCATGTTATAACAAAGTGCCATACTATCTGGAAAATTAGAATAAATGATATGTATTTAAAGTAAAAGTTCATTAAGCAGGTTAGTGTTTCCGTTAGGATAAAAGCTACCATTTACTGAGGGGTTTTTATTTGTTTGAACCATACCAAATTGCAAATGTTGACAGTTTGAACTTGAAAAGAGCAATGCCATATGGTTTATCCCAGTATATACTAGCCACAGAACTATTTGCTTATATATAAGTGAATGACTATTCATAAAACCCCTTAAGGTAGGCTTTTTATTGTCTTATAATTGGTAAAATGGAAGTTCTGAAAGAGGTTAAATAACCTTAGCCACAAAGTTACACTACCCAGGTTTCTAGCCAAGGAGTCATGCTGCGTTCCCCCAAAATGAGAAAAGCTTCAGACCCAAAAGAGACAGATATACAGACACAAGAGTGCCGGGTCTGACTGGATGGAGAACTGCTGACTGTCTCTCCTGTAGAGAGCCAAATACAAGTGGACCTTACAAGCCACTATTGCATTTTAGAAGTTAATGCAATGAACAAAGAGAAACCAGATAGTGAGTTAACACCATTAAAGCTTGCTCAAAAATTCCCATCGAATTCACTTCTTCAAGAAATTTCCAGCTTCTCTTCCATATTTATCACCGAACCTCTCTACTCTGAAAATATATTAAATATAAAACAAGTGATTCTAACCTCAGAGAAAAAAAATATAATGCCACAGGTTGGAGTATATCCCTAATCAACAAGCTTTGATGACTTTTATCAAATGCCTTATAGCACAATTATTATTGCACTCAAGCATTCCTATACACTGTCAAAAGTGGTACTACCAGTAAATGAGATTCAGTATGGAACTACGTAAAACACATTTATCAATTATAGAGACTTCAAGATTTTCCCTCTTTACATAGTTTCTAGATTGTCTAGATTTCAGTAAAATGGAGAAGCTCTCCATTTATTTATTCTAACACTACCTGTGAATCAATTAGGAACTCTGTAAGTGCAGAATGGCTATACTGGTTTGCTCAGTTAGTAATTAGCTGTTTAAGTCAAAGGCTGAAAAAAGTTTCCATGACTAAAAAGCTTTCTGTCCACCCTTGGGAAGAATATTTCCCACATAGCTCTTACATTGATCGTGTCAATTAGAGCCAACAATCCTTCATGGTGATGAGCAATAGAAATAGTCCCTTGTCATTTAAATCACACTCCTGCTAATGGAAAATTGAATTTTCAATTTAATAACCAAATGAATCTGTTCTTCAATGCTATATGGATCAGGGGCTCTCAGTATAGTAGCTAGTCCCCAAATTGGTCCAAAAAAGAAGGGCAGTATTTATTAATCTCTAAGTTCTCAGCCAGCTTTGATATTATTTTAATAATAATAATAATAATAAATACCATGCACTGAATCCTTACTACATGCCACATACCATGCTATGTGCTTTACCAACACCTTTTCATTTAAATCTCCTAACCCTACAGGATAGGTTATATTATCTCTGTTTTAACTGAAGCTTAGAGATGTTAAGTAACTTCCAAGGTCCAAAACTAGTGCAGAGCTAGGATTTAAATTCAACCATTTTGGCCTCAAAACCCATGCTCTCACCCTAGAATCTTGAACCAAGCCTGAAAACTGGCTGTGTGTACCTGCCTTTTTGGTGATTCTTTGTATTCCTAAAAAGCTATATATGTGATTTTCATATTCAAAATTTTTCTACAATTAGATTTCCTGAAAAATAATTATTTTGTGGTTGAGGTCAATATTTAGTCAATGAAATGTGTCTAGTCACTAATAGAGATGGATTATGTAGTGATTTCTTGGTTTTGGCAACAATGCAAAAAACACAGTAGGAAAGAATTGTGGCAGGATAACCCTTCAAAGTATTAATTTCTGCCTCCACCCACATTGTGCAAATGAATAGACAAGCATCATAAGAAAATCAAGATAACAAACATTTAACCATTAGCTTTCAAAAAAGCTACTGATTTAGCCCTAAATGGAAAGATTCAGGTACATTCTGACAGAGCTTTTGCTCCCAGAGATTAGATAAAGTCTGCTCTCAGAGTGACGAGAACAGTGGAGAGAAGAGGCAATGTGGACAAGAAGGCACATGGGAGAGAAACCCCAAGCCCTCTCCAGGGCCTGCTCGGCGACTAGCCCAGAGCCAGGGCACTGCCTAGAAGCTGACGCACAGCAGAGTCGATCCTCTCGTCGTCATTCGGTGGGTTCCACCATTCACCAGTGGTCAGCCCACTGTCCATCATTTGTCCAGCTTGAAGTGTTGCTTGCCTTTGTCCAAGAATCTTTTCATATTCTTCTAATTGACCATCTCTTGGGAATAGCCCCTCATCTAACAGCCCAGGACACTCATAAACACCACTTTGCCCCCTTCCTTGCCCCCAGATTGGAGGGTAGGAGCCTTGTAGTCCTTGATGGGTGATAGCGGAGAAGGCCTGGACACTTTGTGGGGTGATGTTGGGGAAGTGTTTTGTCCAAAGAAAGCAGGATTCTTTGGAATTAATGTGAAATCATCCACTGAGCAGGACAGCAGAGGAATGCAGTACCTGTTACACAATGTTAAGAAGTATCTTGTCACAGACAGAGAATGTTAGAGCTGGACGAGAACTTGGAGAACATCTAGTCCCACACTTCCACATAGCAGAGGAGGCCCAGAAAGGAGACTCGACTTGTTCGGGAGTCAAGTAGCTGGTTAATGGGTCAGCCAGAACCAGAAATGAGATGTCCTGAGTGAGTTTAATTCTCTCTCCACTGCACAGCACAGGCAGATCTGGCTTGGGAGCTCTTTCTTTGGAGGTGGATTTTTCTCTGATCCTCCCTCAAGTCATGATAAGTTGAATGGAGGGCCCAGCTCCTAGGTTCTTAGAAGCCCAGATTCGATAGCTCACAGTAATACCAAGGTTAACGTTTTGTTGGATTAAATTAGTTTATTGCCCTAAGATATAGTGAAATCATTTTGTTAAATAGTTGGGAGAGCCACAGCTGCTTACAGACAATTTCTCTTTCACAGAGACTCTATGAGACTGCTCACGTTAGCCACAGGTGCCTGAAACAAGAGTGGCAGAATGCATTTAATTTTGTTGAAGAAAGTCCAAGATTCTTTCCACATGATAAACGAGGAACTGACCTTCCTTATAGCTATGCCCGTGTTCTTCTGCTCATTCTCCCATGAATTCTTACGTCACTAGAATTTTTATAGGTAGAGAAGAGGATGTCATCCTGTTGCTCAGCATTTCTCTAATGATCACTCTCTAATTTATTGCTCTCCATGGGTTTCTGTTCCCTTTATATAGTCTTTGGGTTTCTGTTCCCTTTATATAGTCTTTTATGTCTTTAGAAACTTTTTTTTTCAGAGAAACACTAGTTTTTAGCACCACTTTATGTGTGTCAATGTATTTAAACAGTTTTGTGGCAAATAAAAAACTTTAAAGACTCCTCTTAAGTATTGATGGAACATTCAAATTAAATCTTTGTTTACAGGACACAGGGATAGCCAGACATTAAATAAATCCAAAAATGCTTCTCATAAATAATAAGTTGATTCCTGATTAACATTTTATACTCTTATTAACATTTCACATATTGTTTCTGTTCAACCAATTTCCGAACTTCATGAAAAAGTTGAGTGGTAGGTTGGGTAATAGGGTAACACAATGGGAGCCTCTTTTCCAAGGCTGGCATGTGAATAAAGTACCTGCAAATCATAAAAAGAAACAAAACAGAGAGCTTTAAAAACAAGAATTTTCACACTGGTCACATGAGAATGTCCTCACTCACTGGTATAGGGGTGTTGGGTGGGGGAGTGTAGGCCACAAGACTCAGCCAGCGTTTTCTGCCCTCTGACGTCTCCCGGTTGTGACCTAGGAGCTCGCTGATAGGGGTGGCTTTCGGCTCACTGAAGCACTTTATGTCAGCAAAGGAAGTGAAGTCCATTAATAAAGTAACAGTTATCAACGCGTTAATAAGGAAGCCAGGACTGTCCTCACCACAGTGTGAGCGGAGGCCCTGCTTCCTGTTTTCTCAGGCAATACACAGCAGGGAGGTGAACTGAAAGCACCAAGCTGCGGTGACCACCAGGGCCAGGTCAAGAGAGAAGAGCAGGGTTCATCCTCACGGCCTGAGCAAGAGTACAGGAAAGGCCAGGGGAAGAGACAAAAGGGAGACAACCTTCAGCTATCTGCTTAGATGGCTTAAGAGATTGGTTCTCAACCCTGGGCGCACATTAGAATCACCTGGAGAGCATTTTTAAATGTCAATGCCCAGGCCCCGCCTCAGACAAACCGAGGAGAATTTCCATATGTGAGACCTGGGTGTTAGTATTTATTAATACTCACTTTGGTGATTCTAACGCACGGCAAGTTGAAAATCACTAGTTTACACAAGGACCACAAACCTAAATGCCCACAGGTAACATGGGGGAAAGGGCAGGAGAGGGGACAGTGGTGAACGAAACAGTACCCGATCCACCTAAGAGGGCAGCAGCTGTCGAGCTCAGGCCAGCTACTGTCCTGTAGGACTGTCACACCATCTTGCCAGTTCTGATTTTTCAATGTGCATAACTAATCTTTTAAAAATTGGGTTGTGTGATTCATGCTACAATGTGGACAAACCTTGAAAACATTATGCTGCATGGAAGAAGCCAGACACAACAGGCCATACACTGTAGGATTCCATTTAGATCACATGTTCAGAATAGGCAAATTCACAGACACAGAAAGTAGATTCATTGTGCCAGGGGCTGTGCGGAGGGGAGAATGGGGCATGACTGCTTAATGGGTCCCAGTTTTCTTTGGGGGTGATGAAAACATTCTGCAACGAGAGAGTGGTGATGGTTGCACAACATTGTGAAATGTATCAAAAGCCAATGAATTGCACTCTTTAATTGTTTAAAATGGTGAATTTCATGCTATATGAATTTTACCTCAAAAAAGAAAAGTGAGGAAAAAATTGGGTTGTGTGGATCAACTCAGAGCAGGCCAAACAAAACCATTTTTTATAGGTGCCAGAATGGAACCTATGGTGTAAAACCACACGGAGGAAAACAGGGTCCACAAATTGAGCTGAAATTCTTTTAAAAGCCAACGGAAGGCTGTAACGTATGCCTCCACATCCCTGTATGTCTCCATCCCAACTGGGAGCAAAGCTATGCCTGCCGCACTTTGCTTTTCATCTTAGGTCTGACACAACCTGGGTTTTCTCCTCGATAGGTGCTAATGCAGGGCTGTGCTAAGTGCACTTGGCTCTGCCAGCCTATAAATAGAAGCAGGAACCCCTGAGGTGCAGGACAAGCTGGATGATGAAACCAGTGCTTGCTGCTGCTGTTTCTTACTGTTTTATTACTGAGTAAGAGAGGGGTAAGTGAAACCAAAAAACTAATAACTGCAGTCATTAATTGTTTCTCCTTTAATGGAGAAACATTTTTTTTTTTTTAGTGACTCAGTTGAATTCATAATTTATTATTTCCATAATTTATCATTTCCTTCAGTGGAGTTTGTTACTCACAGCATGTTAAAGTCATGACTATTTCTGTGAGATGCTGGCTGCCATAGAGAATGAGTGAGAAGCAGTTCTTCAAAGAGAGTGTGATGTTTCACTCGTCTTTTCTGGCCTGGGAATATACTTCAAATGGCATTGGTTCTTAGAGCTCCCCCAAATCCTACCCTACCACAGATCAAAGGGAAACATTATTATAAACAAAAATAGAATTTCCCATTGTCACTTAATCTTCTAAATACTGGGCCACGTTGCAGTTTTGCATGAAAATCAGAAATGTGTGGATTTTAGTGCAGATTAGATTCAGACTTTTTCTTACCTGAATTCTTCTCTGTAGTCATTCCTAATATACTCAGCTAAAGTCTTGCTGTACTGCAGGCAGCTTCTGAGGATGTAGAACTGCTGGTACAACAGAAGTGCTTGGCTGGGACTTAGCAGCTGAAGCGAAGCTGAAAGCCCCTTCACCACTTGTTTCACAATAGTGGCCACAAAAGTCATCTAGACAAGGAAAATGCAGTTACATGTAGGCTGCACCTGTTTCATAAGAGCACCTATTTCAGCTAGAGTCTAAACTGTGAATCTAGGCTGAAGTGTTCACCACCTCTTACACCAATGGCCTTGCACTATTTCTCATTGAAGTAGTACTCAGAAAGCACCAGACCATAGACCAACTGGGTTTACCAACTGCCCCCCTACAAGTAGGATCAGAATGAGTTACTGACTGTCAAGGAAGTTTTGGCTCCAAAATGGGAGAACATTGGAAGCAGGAGTGAGAATAGAAGGGGAGCTCAGAAAGGTCTATGGCCTCCTCCAAGAGGGAAGATGGTTTCTCTTCTATTCTACTGTTAAGAACAAATGGCCGATAGACATAAACTGCCTGTGACCTTCAAAGAAGGTTCCCACAAGGCAGTGGTTCTCAAAAGTTAGTATGCATAAGTCACCTAGGCAACTCACTCAACATGCAGAATCCTGGGCCCCACTCCAGATATTTACCATAAACAATTCTGATGGATTTGTTCCCTGGACCACACCTTGAGAACACTAAGTGAGAAAGCAAAGAAAACCAGGCTTGACACATGCAAGTGACATTGATGTCACTGTTAGCTGGGGTTTTCATCAAGAGCACTTCTGCTCTCATTTCTTAGGGGGGAATTAAAATGGAACAAGTAGCAATAATGTGAAGTTATTGGGTTCCTGCTTCTCACACACACACAAAGCTGTCATTCTCAACAGAACCAAATAATAAAAAATAAGAACAATGGATTCCACAAGTCTTTTTTTTTTTTTTTCTGGGGAGTGTTGCGTTTTCAAACTACTGTCCATAAATGTAAGCTACTGTGAAAAACAAAAAGGAATGCTAGCACCCTTTCAAGCTCTAACCAGGAGGCCACTCTGTACACCCATTAAATTAATATCAATAAATGTGTTGCCTTGTTTATTGCTGTTGCTACTGGCCCTTCCTAAGTAAGGCAGATGGTTTGAAGTGTTTTTCCCAATCCAAATCCATTTACACATATTGACTAAATATTGTGTCAGGCAAACATAGGCTGAGGTTAGAGAGTCTGCAGCAATAGAACAAAACATTGCCCATTAGGGATTAAATTTTAAATTTCTTTAGCATCTTGCTCTAACCAAGTAAGAAAATTGGCCAGAGCTGACTGACATGCAGGTGTGTTCAATGATCCCAACAGTTTCCTTGCTTGCAAATGTCTCTCAAATGGTCTATTTCTACCCATACTCTTTAGAATTGGGTTAATATTGAAGCTTTCAACAGTGTTAGTGGTCCTTTTGCCACCCTTCATCCTGACATGCTTTATGGTCACAGACTGGCCTCATACTCAACTCAACTCCTTTGGTGAACCAACCCTAGAGGTTGATAAAGAAATCTTCCTGTTGCTTGGAGTCCTTAGGACCCCAGATGTCACACATCAGTTCAGATGATAGGGTCGGCCACCACCACACAGAAAAAGTAAGTCTTGCATCTTGCCCATATGAGTCTCTGTTGCTATGAATGACCATAATTTTATGACACTCCTTGAAGTGGGCCTGAGACTGGTTAGGGTCTGTGTGCTGCTGAAGGAGCCAAGTTCATGGGCTCAATCTCTGTATAAGGCAGTTGGCTGTACTACTGATAAGTGTACCCTTGGGCCCCAGCCAGGGTTTTGTAAAAATGTGTCACAGGGATCTGGCAAGAGAATCTAGATTCCCTAGGACAGAGTCAACATCACTCTAGAAAAACAGCTCAAAGCAGGGAACCACTGATGCCAACAGAGGCATGTTTAGACATGGAAAGAGGACATATCACCTCATGTCAGATCCTCCATTAGCTATGAAAATTTAGTTTGGATTACCACCCTTTGAACAGATTACCAATTAAATGTATGTTGATTCAATGTATGAATACATGAATGAATAAAGGGAGACTAAGTTTGGGGAGATGAGAAGAGATTAAGGGAGGAGGCCTATATTAGAAGTAATTCAGCAGATATTTTACTAAACATCTGCTATGTGTCTAGCACAACAGACATCTGCTACCCTCATGGCACTTGGAGTCTGTTGGGGGAGAAAGACATCATATCAGTCGTGACAGACGAGCTTATGCTGTGGTAACAAATCTCACAAAATATCAGTGCTTCGCTTAAAACAACAAAGGTTTACTACTTGCTCACACTGCATGTACCTCATGGGTTGGTAGGGGGTTCTGATCACTGTAGTCACTCAGGACCGTATGGAATGTTGCCAGTCACATGCCAGAAGGAAAAGAGAATGCAGGGAAGCACACACTGGCTCCTGAACCTTCTGGCAAGAAGTGACACAGACAACTTCTGCTCACATGCCATTGGCCAAAGCGAGAATAGAGACCCACTGAATTTCAAGTGGGAAGGGAAGTATAGTCCTACCACGTGCCTGGAAGGAGAGAGAGCAGAATATGTGTGGGCACCAACAGCTACCACAGGAAAGGACCAAACAACAACACAAACAAATGTAAACTGCAACAGTGACAAGTCCTACGAAGGAACGGAAGACGCCACACTATGATGACGTGTGCCTAAAATGGGGGATCTGACCTGGTCAGAGGAAGGGGCACTGAGGCCAGAAGGATGAGTAGGAGTTAACTAGGTGGAAAAGGGAGGGAAAAGCATCACAGACAGAGGGAATGGTGAAGGTCCTGTGTTGGAGGTGGGGGTGTTGGGGGTGGGCAGTAAGAGACCCACATAGCTGGGAGAGGGAGGGACTAGAGGAAGCTGTAGGGCTATAACATGCACAGCCTTGTAGGCCATATTAAGGAGTTTAGTCTTTTTTTTTTGTGAGGAAGATCAGCCCTGAGCTAACATCAAGGCCAATCCTCCCCTCTTTGCTGAGGAAGACCGGCTCTGAGCTAACATCTATCGCCAATCCTCCTCCTTTTTTTCCCTTTTTCTCCCCAAAACCCCAGTAGATAGTTGTATGTCATAGTTGCACATCCTTCTAGTTGCTGTATGTGGGACGCGGCCTCAGCATGGCCGGACAAGTGGTGCGTCAGTGAGCGCCCGGAATCCGAACCCGGGCCGCCAGTAGCGGAGCGTGTGCACTTAACTGCTAAGCCACGGGGCCGGCCCAGGAGTTTAGTCTTTATTCATAGGTCTTTATTTATTATGAGAGATTTAAAGCAAGCGATGACATAATCAGATTTTTATTTTGAATAGATCTCTCTGACCGTAGTCTGGTGGGAAGACAGGGACAGACCATGTAGATGCAATTGTGGTGTCAAGGAGAGAGATGGTGACCTATGGACCACGATGGTGGCTGCCAGGTCAGAATGTCCAGATGATCCTAAGTGTCATGTTCATGCTTGCCAACTCAAACTGACTGTTTAAGATAAATGGTCATTTTTTCACTTAATTTTCACTTTTAATATTCTGTTTCCTACGTGTATCTTAGGGTTTTTCATGAAATAAAGATTACATTTGAGATGTCATTTCAGTGCCTTAAACATTCAGGCCCCAAACATAAAAACATTTTATTTTAATTAAATAATAAAATCATCAAATTTACATTTTGCCTCTGTTTTATAAACTTGGCTACTTCTAGAGAAAATTTGTGTTTTATTAATTAAGCACAGAGTGTCTGTTTCATTAGCCTTGAATGGCGGTGTTGTTTTTGCTTCTAGGTACTTACTATGGGAGGAAGACTTTGCAGAAAGGACATCATCCAGCTCATAGCAAACCTCGTTGATCCCAATCCAAGACTTCCCTAAGAAACTCAAGGAAATTAACAAGTTATATTCATGAAGGTCGAGTTGTACCTAAAAGGATATTCATTCTCAAATATATTTTATCTGAATTAATCAAATTTTTAAAATCAGTATTTAGGAAAATAAGCTAGATGAGCACTTAAGAGCAAATGTAGTTTCATTTAAGTCAACCAATTTTGGACACCATCTCTAATACAAGCATTTTTTTAAAACGTATATTATTCATCATATACTATATAATCATATACTATACATATATCATATAGTAGGCATATGATATATATAATAATCACACAATATATGTATAATAAAATATATATTGTACCTGCTGAAAGACAAGAAGTATCTCATATAAAAGTGCTGTAGCTGTATCCGTATATTCCAGGATAAGCTTCTGTAACTAGAATTTTAAATAATAATCAATGCAATATTGTTGGCAGAGCCAGAAAATGGTAATTTCTCCTGGGGTCCCTTTAGGTACTTAGAATTTTTGATTAACTGAAAATATAATTAGTGTGGTCAGTTTTCCTCTTCCATTTGGTTTAGTCAGGCTCAACAAAAGTTGCTCTCATAAAAGGACTACACATTTAATAATAGCTAAGAGAGTGGGTCAGGGAAAGAAGATACAATGACCCACAGAATACTAACACAAAAACACTGCACACTTGATTTGCAAAATCATTCAGATCAACAACCCTACTTCCTTTCAAGAATGTAGAAATTTGCTCCCCAGAATTAAGGTGGGAGAGCCTCTGGAAAATTTAGGCTTATGCCCAACTTGAACTATAACTCCTTCTGTGGTATGGGTAAATATAGAGCTTAGCGACATTTTTTTGCTCTCAAGAACTCCAAACAGTTGGTGAGGCTGTCTTCTAGCCCATAGGCTACTTGGTGCATGAGAACTGGGTCTGTGGGCATGATACAGGCCAATACGTTTTCCCTGACAGTAATCTTTGCAAGGAAGAGCTCTAGTTTGAAATCTCCCACTCTATTAGACTGTGGAATAAAATTTATATGATCTGCTCATGGCCACACTAATAGCCCAGGTGCAAAAGATCAGCAAATCCAAAAACAGGAAATTCAGACCTATCATTTCTGCCCACTAGATATTTTCATATGAAATACCATGGGCAAATCAAATCAACTAATCCAAAACCAAGCTCGTTATTTCCCCTTTGAACCTACCCTTCTTGCTGTAATTCTTATCTGACACCCAGGCCAGAATCTAAAAGTCATCTAATCTTCACACTTTTATTTTCACATCAAGCTATCAACTCAATTTCCTAAAAGTTTCTGGAAGCTATCCTCTTTACAACTACCATCATTTTTCTTTTCTTTATGTATTTATTCAACAAATACGCATCAGACACTGTACTGGGTGTTGGGGATATAATGGAGAGCAACAGAGCCACAATCCCTGCCCTGGGAACAGGCATCAATCTAATAACCAAATAAATAAATGCCTAGTTGCAAACTGAGACAAAGCCTTGAAAGAAAAGAACAGGAAGTTAGGAGGGCTCTAAAAAGAAAGCTTAGTCTCGCTGGGGGTCAAGGAAGGCTTCCTTCTGGCCCATATCATCCCTCACCTGGACCATTGCATTAGCTGCTTAACAGCTCTGCCTGTCTGAGTCTTGCTTCCATCTGCTCTTTTTTCTTCTTCTTTTTCCCAGTAACTTTATTGAGATAATAATGGTTTATAACATTGTGAAAATTCGGGTGTACATTATTGTTTATCATTTTTAATCCCTAATCCACTCACTCCACTATTGAAAGTGGTATTGTTGATGCTCCATATACAGTCTATAATCATATATTCATGTTATATTTGATTAACATCTGTCTCTCCAACCAGACTATAAACTAACAAGGGCAAAGATTGTGTCTATTTTGCATCTTGTTTGGACCCCACTGCCTAGCACACTGTTTAGCTCATAATAGATTCTCAATAAATATTTATGGAGAGAATGAGTGAATTTGAGTTTTCTAAAACATAACTCTGATTATATGTTTAAGAACTATCAAATCATGTCCTATCCTCTTTTAAAAAAAATTCTGTGTTGGCCATTTAAAATAAATTAATAATAAGCTGATTTATTTTCTCAGAGTAAGTGCTTTCTAGGCAATTTGATATTTCTAATGCATTAGTAAAACCATAGAAAAACAAGTAACTCTCACTGAGTTTGCATAGGTAAGAAGATGGTAAACAAGGCAGGAGAGTTAACCCTGAAATCTCTTAAGACGGTGCTTTTTTACCCATTAGACCCTAATGTGGAATTACATATACAGAAATATTTGTACAGAGACAGATTTATCTAATATACACAGAATACTAATTATTTTCCTTAGTATAAAACATATAAAATGGATACATTAATAGTGACAAAATAGCTATCTAAGTTTTGAGGTTAATGACAAAATATTTAGTCCTTGATTTAATTATATTTCTATATTCCACACTGTCATGGTCCACATTAGGAGACAAGAAGCCAGGGCCCCTATATATTCTGTCTAGTCTACTCCAAATTCTTATCTCACCTCAGCATCAAGAGACATCTCAACTAAAGTTGAGTCAGCCACCAACTGGACGTCAAACACAGGACAAGATTTTGGAATCTGAGGCTCGCTAATTAAAATTACCAAGAGATTAAATAGCGTTCCCCTGAAAAAGTAAATAAAAGGCAATTAATGAGTCAAGTTTGAAAAGAAAAGCAGTGAAGCCAAGTTTGCAGACACCGAATAGAATTATACCTAAAAGTACTAAGCATTGCAGACCATTCTTGACTGAACTTTCGGATCCTTGGACATGCAAACAAATGTCTAGTGATAAGACATTTAAATGAAAATATAATTTCTTGGTCTTTTGGCTCAGAGCAAGTACAGTTCTGGAAGTTCACATAGCTTGGAAAAGAATCTGGATTTAAGGGAAATCTGGGTGATTTCAATTATAGAAATATTTTCCAAAGGGCTTTTTATGGATTACTAATTCCAGGAAACATTATAGTCAAAATAGATTCTGTGGCCAAAGGAGGTATGGGAAATAACTGGTTAAACCAAGTTCACTGGATATCTTTGCTATAGGACTTCTCAGAGGCTTCAACACGCTAATGTGCCCTGTGTGACTCCAGGACAAAGAAGCGGTATGAAGCATTCCTTAAAATGCTCATTTGATCACAAGTTCTTTGACTCTAGAACCCTTTTTTAACAAAGCATTTCAGAGGTTTACTATTCCACTGAAGACCACTAGCTACTAGTTAATAAAACTAGTATTATACTTCAGGTCTCCTGCTTTCAAATGCAGTGTACTGTCCACTGACATACACTAATAACGCACTTAAGGGTTACTACGTTTGAATAATGTACCACATTATTTGAAAATAAAAAGGCAAAAAAACAATCACAATTCAAATTGAGTATGCTGAGGAGCTGGGTTAGTAACACCATCTTCATATTTATAGTACGCCATATTCACACATGGTTGAAAAGGAGCTGGAGGCAGACCACTAGGAAAATGAGTTGCCTAATTGAAGACAATATCAGAGTAGCTTTGAAGGGTAGGAGTATTAAAAGTACTTACAGATAGGACTGTACAAAAATTCTCTATGACCATAAGCATCCCTTTCATAACGGAATAAAGGAGACCATGAACAATCCTTGTTTAGTAACATTTGAGGCTTCCTAATCTTTTTACAATCATTTAAATCATTACCATGATTAGAAGTTCATGATTAAGTAAAATTCTAATAAAAATACAGTTTCCCTCCATTTTCCAACTCAAAAAGCAAGTGTAGTTCTCATATCTGCAAAAGAAGAATCATGTCAGCACATTTCTCAAAAGAGGAGGCTACATCCTACAGGATATTTGCTACTGTTTTACTCAGGCTGTTTTAAAATGGCCAATCTTACTTTTAGAAGACCCTTCCAAAATCAACAGAACACTCCATTTAGAAGCTTTTCCTGGGCTGGCCCCATGGCTTAGCGGTTAAGTGCGCGCGCTCCGCTACTGGCGGCCCGGGTTCGGATCCCGCACCAGTCGGGTGCGCACCGTCGGCGCCCACCGACGCACCGCTTCTCCGGCCATGCTGAGGCCGCATCCCACATACAGCAACTAGAAGGATGTGCAACTATGACATAGAACTTTCTACTGGGG